AATTGCAATTTAAAGCATTTTTTGTTTTGATCATAGTAGGCTTTTTTCAAAAAAAATGTCGATTTTATATCTATATTAGCATTCTTCATCATTTATAATACCTAGATATGTTTTAAAATGCAATTTAAAGCATTTTAGGTTTTGATCATAGTAGGCTATTTTCAAAAAAATATCGATTTTATATCTATATTAGCATTCTTTATCATTTATAATACCTAGATATGTTATAAAATTGCAATTTAAAGCATTTTTTGTTTTGATCATAGTAGGCTTTTTAAAAAAAAAATGTCGATTTTATATCTATATTAGCATTCTTCATCATTTATAATACCTAGATATGTTTTAAAATTGCAATTTAAAGCATTTTTTGTTTTGATCATAGTAGGCTTTTTTCAAAAAAAATGTCGATTTTATATCTATATTAGCATTCTTCATCATTTATAATACCTAGATATGTTTTAAAATTGAAATGTAAAGCATTTTTTGTTTTGATCATAGTAGGCTATTTTCAAAAAAATATCAATTTTATATCTATATTAGCATTCTTTATCATTTATAATACCTAGATATGTTTTAAAATTGCAATTTAAAGCATTTTTTGTTTTGATCATAGTAGGCTATTTTCAAAAAAATATCGATTTTATATCTAAATTAGCATTCTTTATCATTTGTAATACCTAGATATGTTTTAAAATTGCAATTTAAAGCATTTTTTGTTTTGATCTTAGTAGGTTTTTTTCAAAAAAAATGTCGATTTTATATCTATATTAGCATTCTTCATCATTTATAATACCTAGATATGTTTTGAAATTGCAATTTAAAGCATTTTTTGTTTTGATCATAGTAGGCTATTTTCAAAAAAATATCGATTTTATATCTATATTAGCATTCTTTATCATTTATAATACCTAGATATGTTATAAAATTGCAATGTAAAGCATTTTTTGTTTTGATCATAGTAGGCTATTTTCAAAAAAATATCGATTTTATATATAAATTAGCATTCTTTATCATTTGTAATACCTAGATATGTTTTAAAATTGGAATGTAAAGCATTTTTGGTTTTGATCATAGTTGGCTATTTTCAAAAAAATATCGATTTTATATCTATATTAGCATTCTTTATCATTTGTAATACCTAGATATGTTTTGAAATTGCAATTTAAAGCATTTTTTGTTTTGATCATAGTAGGCTATTTTCAAAAAAATATCGATTTTATATATAAATTAGCATTCTTTATCATTTGTAATACCTAGATATGTTTTAAAATTGGAATGTAAAGCATTTTTGGTTTTGATCATAGTAGGCTATTTTCAAAAAAATATCAATTTTATATCTATATTAGCATTCTTTATCATTTATAATACCTAGATATGTTTTAAAATTGAAATGTAAAGCATTTTTTGTTTTGATCATAGTAGGCTATTTTCAAAAAAATATCGATTTTATATCTATATTAGCATTCTTTATCATTTGTAATACCTAGATATGCTTTGAAATTGCAATTTAAAGCATTTTTTGTTTTGATCATAGTAGGCTATTTTCAAAAAAATATCGATTTTATATCCAAATTAGCATTCTTTATCATTTGTAATACCTAGATATGTTTTAATATTGAAATGTGAAGCATTTTTGGTTTTGATCATAATTGGCTATTTTCAAAAAAATATCAATTTTATATCTATATTAGCATTCTTTATCATTTAGAATACCTAGATATGTTTTAAAATTGCAATTTAAAACATTTTTGGTTTTGATCATTTAATTGAGAATGGATCGGGCGGCAAAGTTGCCAAAACCGATTCAGATGATTTAAATGATAATGCTTCCATTATCAATATGGACACTGGAATCATGGATTGTGAACCTAGTGTGGTAGATGGAAAGGTTGATGACATATAGGGCGGCATTTTGCCAACACCTGCATTAATGCCTTTATAGGGAACATTTTTATAAAATAAATGATGAATTTAATTAAAATTAATTTATATGCTTTTAATTTAAATAGTTATTAACTTGTTTGTTATGATGAACCTTGTGTAGCTGCTGATTGTGTAGAGCCATCGCTTTCAGATCACAAGGATATTACGTTTGAAGTCGCATCAGAATTCTTTTCTGGTGATGGTTTTAGGAATCCAAGAAATACTGATTGGTTAGGCTAAAAATGTGTACTTACTAATAAGCTTCAAAGCTTAGTACCGAACATTTCATCAATAAATGAAATGGAGGAGCTATCTTTGTATGTAAACACAGCTATTCTGGAAGCTTATCACGCAAACTGTGGAAGCAGATCATCCAATTTGTAAGCACGTATTTGACAAACCGTTTAAAGTTGTCACCTCAGAAGATGAAGTCATAATGGTTGAGGCAAATGTTATTTGTGTACACACCGATGCATCCAAATCAGAAGATGGAGTCGAGATTGGTGTTTTCAGTAAAGATTTGGAAATTTCATTATCCTTTAGTTTACAGGAACATGCAAGTGTTTTCCAAGCTGAAGTGCAGGCTATATGTGTAGGTGCAAAGCATATTAGCGATATGAAAGTAAAGGACTGCAAGATTTGCTTCTTTTCTGACAGCAAATCTGCGTTAGCAGCACTTAGCAACTGTAACATAAAGTCTAAAACTGTTTATGATTGTATTTCTAGTCTTTCATCTCTAGGATTGGACAATGAAGTTACACTTCATTGTGTACAAGGACATAATGGAAACGTAGGAAATGAAACAGCGGATCAACTTGCTAAAGAAGCGTGTTCTAAAACAGATCACGAAGAGACTGTTTATTACGGTTTGGACATCGTAAAACGGGAGATTCGTGAGTGGCTTATCAGGCAACACTTTCGCATATGGTGCTCAGAGAAAGGATCCCTAACAGCTAAAAATCTGCTAGGCCCTACCAACAAGAACAGTCTAAATGATGCATTGAAACTGACAAGAAGGGATCTAAGCATCTTAATTGGTGCTTTGACTGGACACATGAGTATCAATAGTTTTCTTGTTAAGCTCAATTTGAGTAACTCTAAATTTTGTAGGTTTTGTAGTACAGCTGAGGAGACACGGCACACATTCTATGTGACTGTAAGTCACTATGTGCTTTTCGCCACAAACACTTCAAGGAGGATGTTGTCAATATAGGTGGCATAAGGAAGCAACGCTATTTCGACTTAGTGGGATTTATTAAGGACATTGGAATTCTGTAGCTGAATCTAAAGGGATGGGACAACAGATCTATGATCGCAGTGCCTTTTCGTGTATAACGAACCCTACATCTAATTCAATCTATCTATCTATGATGAAGAAACGAAGCCTTCATGAGATGACGAAAAGATGAAACAACTGCAATAGCCAGCTCCAAAAGAAATGAGAACATAATTTTTTGATATACCTGCAAATGTCTGAAACATAGATACAAGTCAACCATCGTCAAATGCGTCCCTTTTGCCAGCAACGCCACCTTTAACTGGTTTATCACGACTTATTATGCTTAATGTTTTTCTTTCGTAATTTTTCTTACATAAATGAAGATGAATAGCATACAATGAAATCAAATGATAGTCAACCATATACTAAATTCACTCAGGATGCAAGGAAATCAATCAACATCGAATGACATGCTGAATCAAGATCATAGGAATAATAATTAAAATAATTCAGACTTACAAAATGACGAGTTCTTGAGACTTAGAGGAGAAAGTGGAAACAATCGAAGTCAGAGTCGTTAAAAGGATAAAATTGATTATTTTCCTGAATCATGTCCAGACTACAACAATGGAAGTAGTCGATGGCTAAATACAGATAGCCGAGACAGTAGAGTTAAAAGACGGAAAAATAACGGGTCGATCTACAGGCGGTAAGCAATTTAATCATTAATAAGCAATTTCAAATATACTAATCACATGCAAATATGTATTTTAGGTAGCAATCAATGAAGTTATAGCAGAAAAAGCGCACATCATCATCAGAAGGATTTTCGTCTGTAATAAGGTCAGTTAGAGCTTTTTTCTCTCGTGTTTGTCTTTTAATTTTGTCATTATGGATAATCCGATTTTTTTAAAGTAAGAGCGGGATTAAATTTATAAAATTGTAAGGGGTGGCTGTCGCAAATTCGTCTTAACGTAAAAGGTCTTGAGTTTGTTTTTTCAATCTGTCCATCCATGTTGTGTTGTTTATTAATTTATTTCATATTTTTACTTCCATAATTTAATATATTTAATTCCAAAATTTTAGCCTAGAGTTAAAATAATTTTTTTAAACTTAGGATTTAGCCTTTTCATGTATATAAAAAGAGAAAATGCCCCACCGTCCTGCCCAATTTTTTTTTTCGGCACTTAGAGTGCTTAAAATTTTATTATAAAAATGCAGCAAAGATAGTGTCTAATCTTAACTGGGCGACAAAAGCACCATAAGAAAAATTAATAGAGCCCATCTCAACAAAGATTCATCACAAATCATTAAAACACATTACCACAAGCTTCGAAGTTTTCGATAAGCGAATTTTCATGCCCAGCATTTATGCCAATGAACAATGGATATCCAAAACAAAAATGAGACAAAATTTCATGAAGAGTTCAACAGTCTTCATCAAATGTATCAGCATGTAGCCTTCACAGTTTCCAGAATCAATAGCGAATTCAGAGTTATGATGTTTATTTGTTTGTAAGTTTTCAAGAATTTTAGCAGAGAGTTACAATTTTTTTTTAAAAACTTTGGATCTAGGCTTTTTAAATCAAGCATGTCCTTAAAAATATTAATAACTTTTTCAAGAGCCCTCTTCCAAATATCTCTCCCTAATTGTTTTATTACAATGAATTACTCCAAAAATACTTGAAAAATTTGCACTTGATATTCCAGAAATTTATCAGCAACAACTAATAACAACCACTTGTGATTAATCCATTATTATCTAATCATTTTTAGCAAAATTGATAATTATTGATTATTAAAGTTTCAAGTCCCATCTGGCTCCCTATAAAAAGTGTGTAAAATGCTTTTGATTTCATTAAGTGACATTTACTTTGTGGATTAACGTTTTATATTTGGAACCTGTTTAATACTTAAATAAAGGAAAAGTGAAAGTTTTCAAAAAAAAATCAATGAAAAATAAATTTAAATTTTTCTTATGGATGTTTGTGGTCCTTCTGTGTCGGGAAGTGAAAAGTGACGATGATAACCTAATTATTGAAAGCACAGAGTAAGTGCTAAAATTTTTGATTATTGAATATTTCATGTTACGTAAGATCTTTAATATTAATTTCTCGAAAAAATAAAATATTAATTAAAAAGATCTTCCTTATTGATAGTTTTTTTTTTTCATTCATTAATAGTGTGCTTGTAAATTGGATCCTTTACTAAAAAGGGTATTTTAAATTTATTTTGTTATAAGTGTTGAATTATGTTTATGGTGACTAGTCTGGTCGCCCTACTAATGTGTGCCTTTTTTTCTATCAAGTAGCATGATAAGGCTTAACATTCATTGCTAGTTGTTCATAGCTTTATCATTAATCTCTTTTCTACATTTATCAATTTGAGATTATCCATAGTTCTTGGCAGCTCGCATGCAATTTATCGACCATACACGAAGTACTTGAAATTTATAACTGATAAGCTGTTAAAAATACGTTCTTTTCTAGATTACCTGGTGCAGCTGATATGCCAACACTTGCAAATGGACACATTGGATTTGTGATATATGGGGATTCGATATTAATGAATGGATTGTATAATGGAGTACGTGGAGAATCACATCGTGCAAGGATACCAAATTTTTCAAATCTTGTCCCTAATATTGAATGCAATGAAAACTGTCTTTATCAACTTAACATGAAAAATGGATATTTTCAAAACACCATTAATGAAAGCAATTTTAATGTTGTCCAACAATTATATGCTCATAGATTTTATAATCGAGCTGTTATTAATTCCTTTACGATCGAACGAACAGTACAAGGAGGAAATATTTCGGTTGGATTGGAAATTAATCAAGGAGATGAGACAAGCGTTGATTTAGAATTAGTTCATTCGAGAGATGTTTTGGATCTAAAACTACGAATTAACTGTTATGCTACAAAATCGATTGAAGATCCTCGTTACCAAACATCACCATCAAAGGTTTGCATTGGGTTCACTATTCCACCAGAAAATTTGTTCCTTAACGAGAATGAAAATACTTTCACTTACCATCACATTACTGCTGTAGCAAAAACTGAAGAAGAAGTTGTTAAAGAATTAGAGGACATTATTCAAGCTACCGATATTTTTGAAAAACATTCATCAATTTGGGAAGAACATTGGGCACGTTTCGGAATATTTATTGAAGGAAATAGTAAAGTCAATGAAATCATTCATTCCAGTATGTTTTATTTGATTAGCAATTTACCATCGGAACAGACGAATCAACCGAAAGACCCTTATTATGGTTTAAGTCCTGGTGGTTTACCAAAAGGAGGTCAGGTTTATATGGAATATCAAGGGCATTCATTTTGGGATACTGAAATATGGATGCATCCTCCAATTCTATTGTTAAATCCAAAATGGAGCGAAGAAATATTAAGCTATCGATATAACGTGAAAAAAGCAGCAGCAGATAATGCATTGAACACGAATTATAAAGGCTATAGATATCCATGGGAATCTGGTTTTACAGGATGTGAAGTTACACCTGATTGCTGCCCAGAAGTCGTTGAGTTTCAACATCATATTATTGCAGATATTGCCTTTGCATATAGATCTCATTTAGCTGCAACCCATGATGAAGAATGGTGGAATAATTTCGGTTGTGACATTGCTTATAATACTGCCAAATTTTGGGAGTCGAGAGTAAAGTATAATGACAGCACAGAGAATTATGATATCCGAAGTGAGTCTTAGAAGTTAAGATTCGAAATAAATTTGACAACTTAAAATATTTTATAATTTTAGATGTTATGGGACCTGATGAAGACCATCACGATATTGATAATAATGGGTACACAAATGTGATTGCAGCATTTAATCTCTATTTTGGAGACTTTGCTGGTTGTCATTGTAAGAATGTTTTGAACATTTCCGATAATGATTATAAAAGGTTTGAGAAAATTGCTAAAAGTTTAACACTTTTGTATGACAAAGAAAATGATCGTCATCCTCAATATGAAGGGTATGCTGGTGAAAACATAAAGCAAGCTGATACTGTAATGTTAGGTTATCCGTTGCAATTGCCAATGAACGCGTAAGTATTAATTATAAAACACAATTATTCATTCCTTTTAAGTTGTAATACTCTTTTTTAGATCTACAAAACGAAATGACTTGGAATATTATGACAATAAGACAAGAGAAAATGGACCAGCAATGACATGGGCAATCCATACGATCGGATTTCTCGATCTTGAAGATCAGAATACAGCTGCAAAATATTTTGAACGAAGCTATTCTCTGTATACAAGAGCACCATTTAACGCGTGGAGTGAAGCAATTCCTGATCAACCAGCTGCTGGAAATTTCATTACTGGTGCCGGTGGATTTTTGCAATCTGTTATTAATGGATATGCAGGAATACGCTTGAACTTTGATAACTTGGTCATTACAAAATCGTATTTACCAGCTAATAGCTCAAAACTTACATTAAATGGAATTGTATATTTGGGAAATGTCTTTCGCTTGGAAATTATAGCTGGCTTTAAAACTCTTACTTTGATAACGAATGGAGAAGAAGATGTTCAAGTTTTTGTCGATGGAATTGAACAAGAAAATTTAACTACCTATAAAGATATACCTTTGCTTATTCCTGCTGACTCTGCGATAACACTAAAGCCTCTTAAAAAATTCGGTGAGTCTAAAGGATGTGAAATGAAAGAGACGGTCACTGGAAAAAAGATTAGTGATGAACCTGTGGAATTTGTCGATGATGAATGGATTTTAGGTTCTAATTAGTAAGTAAATGATCAGATCTCTAATTTTAAGGAAATATGATTTTATAAATTTTCATTTAGTTTACCAGATGTGTATGAAGTACCAACATTAAGCAATGGACACATTGGTTTTGTTATTTATGGAGACTCAATCTTCATGAATGGATTATACAATGGGCAAAATGGAAATTCTCATCGTGCAAGGATACCCAATTATGGAAATATTGAAACTGATTTAGAATGTTTAGAGAATAATTGTGCATACCAGCTTAACTTGAAACAGGGTTATTTTGAGAGAATTGCCTATAAAGGAAGAAGTTTTAAAATTTCTCAGCAGATGTATGCACATCGATATTACAATCGAATCATTGTCAACAGATTTGTCTTGGAACAACTTGATGGAACGCTTGAATATTCTGTACAGTTACGATTAAATCCTGGAAATGAGACTAGCGTTGACATTGTCAAATATGATGAGTCCAAATATTCTACTGAGAACGGAGAAGTTACAGTCAGGTGCTATATGACACGAACAATAGAAGATAATAGATATCAATCAGATCTAACAACAGTTTGTGTTGCTTACACAACTGTCCCAATCCAGTTGACGGTAAGTTTGGGACAACAAAGTGCAGAATATGTCCATTTTACTGCCATTGGATCGACAGAAGCAGAAGTCAAAAAAGAATTGGCGGATGTTATGGCACAATCATATTCAGCAATCTTTGATAAGCACAAATCAATATGGGAAAAGCACATGAACAGTTATGAAATGACTGTTGAGGATAACAAGGAATTAAATCAAATCATGCACTCTAGTTTGTCATTCCCAAGGTCATTCATTTTGGGATACAGAAATATGGATGCATCCGCCACTACTTTTATTAAATCCAAAATGGAGTGAGGATATTTTAAGCTATAGATATAATGTAAGGAAAGCAGCTGAAGATCATGCAACGAATACAACTTACAAAGGATATAGATATCCATGGGAATCAGGCTTTACTGGTCGTGAAGTGACGCCTTTATTTGCATGGGAAGTTATAGAGTTCCAACATCACATATCTGCAGATATTGCATTCGCTTATAGATCACATTTGGCAGCAACTCATAATTTAGACTGGTGGAAAAAGTATGGATGTGATATTGCTTATAACACAGCCAAGTTTTGGGAATCTAGAGTACAATTTAACGAGTCAACAAAATTCTATGACATCAAAAGTACGTAATAAATCATTAATGTAAGCACAGCATTAATCCTTAATTTCGTCAATAGATATTATGGGACCTGATGAAGATCATTACAATGTAACAAATAATGTGTATACGAATGTCATTGCTGCTATCAATTTATATTTCGGTGATTTTGCTGCTTGTTCATGCAAAGAAGAACTGAAGGATTTGGATGCAGACAATTTTGCTAAAATTGCAAAATCATTAAAAATGGTATATGATGAAGAAAACGACTTTCATCCCCAATTTGAAGGGTATGAAGGTGCTGAAATTAAACAAGCTGATGTCGTCTTGATAGGATATCCATTACAATTGCCAATGAATAGGTGAATTTTTGTTTTAAACAATATTGCAAGGATTTAACTTAATTTAACTTTTTAGTACCACGAAGCATAATAATCTTCATATGTATGACAACGTTACTCGTGACACAGGACCTGCTATGACTTGGTCAATGCATACAATCGGTTTCTTAGATATTCAGGATGAACAAAATGCAGCAAGAACATTTAGAAAGAGTTACAGTGTCTACAATCATGAACCTTTTAAGACATGGAGTGAAAATCAACCAGGCGTAGAAGGAAGTGGCAATTTCATCACAGGTGTTGGAGGATTCTTACAGTCAGTTATGAACGGTTATGGTGGAATAAGATTACATTTTGATCATCTTTCAATTACTAACTTCTATAATCCACCGAGCACAAACGGATTAATTTTGAAAGGCATAACCTACCTAAATAATCGTTTTAATTTAGAAATTAAAAACGATGTAGCCACTGTGTTTTTTACAGACGTTAATAAAGATCACCCAATTAAGATTACTTTAAGTCCCTCAAATGAGGAATATGAAGCAAAAGTTGACTCACCTATTACATTTAATAGAGTAGAGGAACTAATTATCAAACCAGAAAATAATACTTTTGGCTCTTGTGAATTAAAGGAAACTGTTTTAAACGTTCCTGCCAGTGCCGCAATCTTTAAAACAAATATTTTCATTGGCTTAATTGCATTAATTGTTATATTAATGAAATAAATTCATTCTCAAATTTTGGAGATTAAGGAAGCAGTATTTTCAATTTTAGATTAATATTTAATATTTTATTAGGTATTTAGTCAATATTAAGACCTCAATCTAGAAATCCCTAAAATGCAGCTACCCTAATATGCAGATAGTACTGCCAAGATGCAGATGGTACTGCTAAAGTGCAGATGAAATTAATTTTCCCTAAAATGCAGATGAAATGCTGTTGCTTTAAAAAAGGTATAATGCAGATGATTTTTATCGTATAAAGTGCAGATAAGATGCTGCCCAAATGTAGATCGTATAATTTTATTAAAATACATCATATTCGATGACTTTTTTTTCTTGATACGTGTTAATAAAAAAAAATTCCATACAAATTTTCACCTTCAAGTGATTTAAAATCCCAAAAAAATCCCTATACAAAATGATTTAAATCATAAATCAAAAATAAATCACTTGGGAAAGATGATTTAAATCCCCTCCATGCTAATTACATCAAAATTTCGTGTAGCAAAGTAATTTAAAGTCATAAAGTTTGCAATGTATTCAAAAATGCATTTTTTTTTCTGAACTTTTTTAATAACATCAACTATTGTATCGGGTAGAAACCCAATGCGGATATATTCGCACCGTACCATCAAAAGTCTTGTGGAAAGACCAAGCTTGGCTCAGTATTAATTTGAAAGTATGAATCTTTACGAACCAGCTGAGCTGTGCTCAGCATATGTTTGGAGGTTTAAAGCTAAACGAGCATTCTTTAAAGTTTTTAAGAACATTTTTACCACGTTTTTCTTAACTTGATTTCTTGTCTTTCTGTCTTTCTGCTTGTCTGAAATTCTGTGTTCTGAAATTTTGCATGCACTTATCTTTCCGATGACAATACAATATTCAAGCATTTTGGAAACTCAAAAATGCTTAATTATAGTACAATTAAATTAAATTTTCTACTGGTTAAGGCTTAGCTTATTTTTACATAACATATGCACAACTTTCAATAATTTTAAATTTCAAAAAGCCGTTATAAGTAGGAGGAGCTTAAATTTCATAAAAAAGCGCCCACGTTTTAAGATGTAGAACTATACGATATGGTCGAAGTGAACAAATTTGCAATTCATGTATGGTCATGACTTTAGTATGAAACTTTCAAATCAATCTCAAATTTTCAAACCAATATCCTTTGAACCCATTAAAAAAATTATTTTCTACTTTTTAGTCCACGGGTAAAAACGTGGTTTTTAAAAAAGTTTTTTTTATAAATTATTTTTCATCCAAAGTTTAATTTTATAAAAATCACAGTAAACTTTTGTTTTAAAAAATTCGTAAGAAAGGAAAGTTTTTTGCTTTTTCTGAAGCAACGGCTGTTCCTACCTTGCCCAAAAACTATACAGCTATTCTATAGAGCAGCACGGATCAAATGTAAAAAACTAGAAGTCTCTACAATGTCTCGTTATTGAGATTTCTTGCTGATTAACTTGCTTGCTTGCTTACAGAAAGCGTATTTTTCGATTTTCTCAGCAATGCCGCAACCAATTTGAAATCTGTTTTTTTGCATAAGATGTAAAATTTCAAGCACAAACTTTACTTCTGAGACTTTTTATATTCACACCGTTTTCACGTGTGAATGTTTTGTTTTTGTTCAGATTGAAAAATCAGTTTTTTGGATTTTGTGAGTTAACGAAGCATTTTAGCTATAAATGTATTAATAAGAAAAGTTTGTGCCTGAAATTTTACATCTTATGCAAAAAACAGATTTCAAATTGGTTGCGGCATTGCTGAGAAAATCGAAAAATACGCTTTCTGAAAGCAAGCAAGCAAGTTAATCGGCAGAAAATCTCAATAACGAGACATCGTAGAGACCTCTAGTTTTTTACATTTGATCCGTGCTGCTCTATAGAATAGCTGTATAGTTTTTAGGCAAGGTAGGAACAGCCGTTGCTTCAGAAAAAGCAAAAAACTTTCCTTTCTTACGAATTTTTTAAAACAAAAGTTTACTGTGATTTTTATAAAATTCAACTTTTGACGTTAAGCTTTAGACCTTCAAACTTATGCTGAGCAAAGCTCAGCTGACTCGCTAGCTTTATATCTCAAAACTTATGCTGAGCGAAGCTCAGTTAACTTATCAAGCTTCATACCTTAATACTTATGCTGGGCAAATCTTGGTCTATCCATAAGACTTTTGATAGTGGGCAATTCTTTGGATGAGTGGAATTTGAAAAAAATGAGCTTTCATAATCCAATGTCAATGAGTTTTGTGTCAAAAAAATGTTTTCTTTAATTTCATATTACTGTGAAGGAATAATAAGCCAGAACTTTCGTAGATCATTAAGCATAATTAATTCTTTACAAGTGATCTATTGAAATGTTACAACTCACCCAAATTAAGTGAAAAATTGAAAAAATATGTTTGAAAATTTTGTATTTTTTCACGGATTAAGACAAAAAAAAAGCTTCTTTATAACTCGATGACACAAGGAAATTTTTCAAAGAATTGAAATATTTCATTAATTACTGGCTTAATGCACACAAAAAAGCAACCTAATTAAAGATTTTTGTCTGTTCTATAACTCAGTAAAAGTTATTCAATGTTAATTTCAATAGTTTTCTCTAATTTTCGATTCTTTGGATGATGAAAATTGAAAATTCCGATTTCTGTCATCGAGTTATTGACAAAAGAATCCAAATAACTTAATTAATACAGCGATTAGAAGTATATGATATCAAAAGGAGTGTACATTTTATATTTTTACATCGATAAGAGTCATAAAATCAGTGCCTCTGATGGGAAAAATTAATAAAATTTCGATTTTTTGCTGAAAATTTTCCGAAAGTCATCCAAAGAATTGCCCTAGTACGGTGTGAATATAATCCGCATTGGGTTTCTACCCGATACACTAGTTGTATCGTAACTTTAAATTACTTTGCTACACGAAATTTTGATGTAATTAGCATGGAGGGGATTAAAATCATCTTTCCCAAGTGATTTATTTTTGATTTATGATTTAAATCATTTTGTATGGGGATTTTTTTGGGATTTTAAATCACTTTAAGGTGAAAATTTGTATGGATTTTTTTTTTTATTAACACGTATCAAGAAAAAAAAGTCATTGAATATGATGTATTTTAATAAAATTATACGATCTACATTTGGGCAGCATCTTATCTGCACTTTATACGATAAAAATCATCTGCATTATACCTTTTTTTAAAGCAACAGCATTTCATCTGCATTTTAGGGAAAATAAATTTCATCTGCACTTTAGCAGTACCATCTGCATCTTGGCAGTACTATCTGCATATTAGGGTAGCTGCATTTTAGAGATTTCTAGATTGAGGTAATATTAAGTTACAATAATTTTATTATGCCGCTTTTCTATTAGCAGGATGTACAAAAATAGATTTTGGCAACCATCTCTCCAGTAAATTGTTAACTTCTGCTTGTTTTCGTGTTATTTCAGTACCTGAATCAACGACATTTCCATCTTTCTCAACAATTGCAACAATTTCTTCTGAGTAGCTTTTAATATCTAATTTCAGTTCTGGTAATTTTTGAAAATTAGACTTTAATGGATACAAGTTAAATGTAAGTTCGAAATTTGAATGGGAGAATAATGTAAATGTTAGTTGCTTATGTCCAGAAAGCATAAAACCATCAGAATTTCCAATTGATGCATGGAAATGTAAAACTTCATCTCCTGGATTCTTTAATAGAATCTTGTAAGTGAAAATTTCTCTTACAAAGACTCGTTCTGTTGGAGATGTACAGTAAATGTTTAACAGAGGAACAATTACATCTAAAATTTTTAAAAAAAAATATTTATTGCCCTGGAGCTTTCAATATAAACAAAAAAAAAACTTACCAACTCCTTCAATGAGGAACTTCGATTCATTTATAATATTTGTGTTAGATTTTCTCCATTTGATACAATAAAGTCCGAATTTTTTATCCTGATCAACGACCTTCTTCTCAAGCACAACATTAACCTTTGCATTAATAAATCCTTTCTTATGTGCAGAGTCGTTTACTAATTCAACAATATCCAGAGTGCTATTAATATTGAATTTCTCATCATCTGAGGTCGAAAAATCCATTGACTTTTGATCCTTCTTTTTAATACTAAACGGATCATCTTCGTCTTTTACGCTGACTACTTCTGAAACAATTTTTGATTTCAACTCATTTTCAGTTAATTTCACTTTTGAAAAAAGCATAGAAGCATCCAAAATAATATTTGCATTCAGTTTTTCTTTCGTTAACCAGCTATCAGTCGTTCTTGTTGGAATCAAAGTCAAAATGTTTTCCATATCAAATCCACGACTTATATCATTTCCAATAAAAAATTGATTGTGATTGTATTTCTCAGTTATGTTAACATCAGCAATGAAAAATGCATCCAAGATATCAATATTAAAAGGTGATCTGGGTTTAAGTGATAATCTCATCAGAAATTCTTCATTCTCGTAACAACTAGTAAGTGCTTTTCTATCCAAACTGTAAAGTCGGCTTTCAAAACTAAACTCTTCGACACATGGAACTATTAAAATATTATCATGTCGCTTTCTTACTAAGTTATTTTCTAATCTTTCTACATTTATGTCAAGATGCTCTTCACTTCCAGTAAATGTTGTTGGAGCTACTTCAAGTGATGGAGATGATTCCTTCTCCGTTGGTGAAAGCATATTTGATTCTGTTGTATCTATAATCTCGTAATATAATGACTGCTTTAGCTCAATATTTCCTTCAATTAAACTTGTTAAAAAGTATTCAATTGATGTATTAGAATGTCTTTCCAAATTTCCAATGGTAAAATTAATACATGAACTTAGCTTTGTTGTTGATTCCGTTGAATTTTTGGCCAAAAAAACTGGAATTTTTTTTTATAAGGCTTATTAAAGGAAAATAATTATTTTGTTGGTCAGTTTACCTTTATTTTTATAGCTAGCTGGCAATGACACTTTGACAGTGACATTTTGCACTACTTCATCATGATTATTACTTAGATTTAGCTGAATTTTATAGTATTCGTTTAACAGCATTGGCTGATTATGCACAACATTTGAATTCAAATGAAAACTGCAAACAGAAAATAATGTTGTTCTCATTTTCAGCATGTTTAAATTTAAGTTTACTTACGTTGGGATTATGTAGCAAGTTCTGAATATTTTAATGAATTCCAAGAAATCGGAGTGGATGTTGTAAGATTGAAAATACTTTGTAGCATTTAATGACTTTTGAAACATTAAAATTGCTGATATTTTTTCAGTTCCCATCAATAGCTCAACAGCATTTACCTAAAATTGCAAATAATTTAATATCCAATGCATAAAAATAAGCTGTTCAAGACTACTTACTGTGACTTCAGAGTTTTCTACAAACTGTCCAGGTTTGATTAAGTTTGTGAATTTGTAGCACTTTCCTCGCTCTAATATAAAATTCTTTGCGTCAAAGCATTCGCCTAATTTTGCAGCTTTTGTAGTTGAATCAACTTCATATTCATAGCCAACAGTTGCTTCAATCTTTTGCTTTGATCCGCTATTTGACAGAAGAATGACTGAAATTTTTGCAATTTTTACTGGCACAAGTGTATTTGATCGTAAATAAACACATAAGTCAATTGGATCTGTAAATTTCACTTGATTGCTTTCGAATGAAAATTTACAGTCAATTAATTTTGGAATGTCATCTAAATTCACTGTTATTGGTGTGCGATAATTAGCCAAAGCATCTTTCCATAACTGGATCACTTCAGGTGCTATTTGATTTTGAAATGTTGGAGCAGAGTTCTGCAATAAGATTAACAAATTGATTAAATAAAACGATACGGAAATAAATAGGAGCTTACATTAAAAACCTTCCATAAATTCTCCAGAATATGCTGTCGTTCAGCCACTGATATTTTCATATTAGGAGAAAGTGCTTCTATACTGCTAGACACAAAATCATTTACAGATGCCGATAAAGTTGCAGACTGAACAGTTTTAGTAAGAATTGCAGTAAATATTGAATACCATTTTTCAGCACGGAAATCTTGTAGCATTAACGAATACAAGCTGTAGAATTAAAGATTATAGAGTCATTGGATTCATATAATAATAAAACTTACGTTAATGCTTTCGTGTACTCTCCACTTTTAAAATATTCATCAGCCATCATTACTGCACACTTTTTGCGTGATCGTCCGCATCGATAAATTTTGAACTGAGACATAGCTTGACTCAATAGGTTTATAATCACAGCCTATTCAGGTCCATAAAATGTATTTGTTATTATTAGATTTAGGATAAAAAAAGTGTTTCTTACAGAATAATTAAACTTCATTTCCATTTCACGAACCAATGTTATAATTTGTTGATCAATGCCTTGATCTCGATCATTTCCACTTCGAACGCCAAAAAAGTCACTGTACAGAAGTGAAAATTGAGTTGTTGGGGATATATTTTCGTCATTCGAAGTAGCTAAATATGCTGCAGATTAAACTAGTTAACAAAAATTGACACAATTTGATGGACATGATTCACTTACGATTGCTTTGTAGAAATATTTCACGCCTTTTGTACAGATGCTCAGCAGCTTTTAGATAATAAATAGCCGGATTTTGAGTCTGTATCGCAGCTAATCCATTTTTAACTGCCTCATTGAATATTTCACCAAAATAATTAAATTGTGATGATAACCAACCATGATGTTCAAACAGTAATTCCTTGAATCCAGTTCGGGATTTATATTTTTCAATGTGTGCCTTAAATTGAGTGATTGAATCTCTCGGTAAATTTAATTTAAACATCAATCGACAGATCTTATAATTGATGAAACCAGCAACAGTTTTGATTTCTAAACAGTTTGTATCAACAACTCGTATATTCTCCAAATTAACATATGATTGAGTATAATGCCTAACAATTCATTAATATTAATTACAAATAAATATAAAAATATAATTAGGTATGACTTACTTTAGAGCAGTTGGTAAATCTAAGCGAAGTTCTGAAATGAATCCCATTTTAAATTGATGTCTAACTTTAAGTGTCTGATGCTGAGAACCAGTTGGATGTGATCGATAGTTTTTTAAAATTCCAATATAGAAAGACTGTGCTAATTCCAAAAATGCTGATTCAAGTCTAACAGTGTACCCAATAAGATTATGATCATTAACTGGAAGAACGTAAAGATGTTTTGTGTTGATCTCACAAGCATTAGCCAAAGCAGATGCTCGCTCTGTAGCTATCAAATCATCACTTGCTAAAACAGGCGTTGATTTATGCAAAAGGACTAAAGCAATTTTAGTTAAACGATCCTGAAGTTTAGATTTTAATTGTTGGATCATTGCAGAGCACTGAACTTGCTTCTCTGACCATTGAGGCTCTTTCCATTCTAATTCCATAAAAACAACAATCTGAAAGATGTCATTTGTAAATGAAGATTTTATATGCTGAATAAAGTCTAAGAAATTACCAAAGACGGGACTACATGTTGATATTTTAACATCCAGTTCTTCTTCAATATATGCTTTGGATTGTACCATTCAAAACTCTGTCTTTTCGGTTTTTTCGTAGGAAATTCATAATTATTAGGAATTATCTTGTACTGAATCGAAGGTCTGTAAATTGTGACTTTTTGTTAAATTAAGTTTTAGTGATGTGTGAAAAATATTTTACCTTTCAATTCTATTAAAAGAGTCATAAATTGCCTTATGCGACGAACTATTTAGGTCTAATCCATAAAATCCTATTAAAGGTTGAGCAGTTGCAAGTAATTCTGATGGAAATTCAGCCATTTATGCCTTATATTTTGGACAATTAATGTTTTTAACTGTGTTCCAAAAACTTTGTTTTGATTTTTTTTGTCTCCCGAAAACAGAAATTCAAATTAAATATTACCGTTATATAATTTAAGAAAATTCAACTTCAATTTTGTTGCCATGTTAGCTTTTACATTTTAATTGCCATATTTTTAAATTTATTTTATTCTACAGTTTATTCAACTTTTATTTTATGATAAATTCTTCTGAATACAAATTGATAAATTAATTCAATCACTTTAAAAATAACCCATGAACTCAATGCAATGAAACAAACTACATCGAGCATCAAATATTGATACCAAGAAAGTTCAATAGCATGTGATTTCAAATGTTTTGCTCCATTATGCTTAATAACATATTCAATCCAATACATTGACGTGTTTAAAGGATTTACTTGATTATCTCTTACTATAAACGACAATTCTTTCGACTTTTCAAGATACTTTTTGTTTCCAATCATTTTATCAATTTTTGATTTTAAAGAATATTCTGTCATACTGGAAAATAAGATATAGTGACCATATCCAAGCTTTTCAGCCATTTTAGCATTTCTATATTGATCACCAAAAAATGGCATGAAAAGAGTAGGAACACCAAAATGCAAGCTTTCTATTGTTCCAAAAAGTCCACCATGAGATATAAAAAGTAACACATTTGGATGATTAAGGATTTCAGCTTGAGGTGTCCATTTTAAAATCATTAAATTCGATGGCAAATTTTCCAAATCATCTTTTTCATACTTCCATAAAACTTTTTGCTTTACTGATCTAAAAACATTAATCAATAGTTTCAATTTCTCTTTAGGCATGTTTGAACTCTGAACATATGACCCTAATGACATATAGATAACACCATTTTCTGCTTCATCAAGAAATTTTTTCAAATTCTTCGGCAGTGGCTTCAAAGGCTTTATATGTGCTCCGGCAATATCAATAATCCCATGCATCAAAGGTCGTGGCTTGAACATTGCTACATGATTATTTACCAAAATAGCTGATATTGATTTTTCCATGTCTTGAATTGAAGGTAGATTTGACAAGTGGGAAAAATATTTATGTGCCATTTTATTCATGGCTGGTAGATAATAAAATTCTCTAATGAGAACGTCTGCCATTGAAAAAATAAAGTTATGTAGACGTTGAATGAATGTCATGTTGTCATCATAATCTGATAAAATCATATGTGGCACAAGTGAATAGGGAGTAATTGATCCCATGATACGATCAAAAAAATCCGAATAGCCATATGTACCTGAAATACAGTAGAAACGTTTCAATTTGAGACGCTATAATGTTTTGTGATGTATACTTAATGAAACGATTGGTGCTTTATATTTATGTGAAAACATAAGAAGAGCCTCTTGAAAAAATTGTTCTGCTAATATTAGATCAAAATGTGAGTCATCATAAAGTGTGAAATTTCTGACCAAAGGATTTTCAAGACAATATTGAGTACTTTCTATTCCCAACCACCAATAAACACCAAGCATGTCGATTTGATTCATAAATTTAAGATCAAATATTTGTTCCTGAGTGACTAAATCATGCAAAAGATATAAAAAATAAATCAGATTATTAATAAAATTATATGGCTTTACATTGACTTCCAGGACTCCATGGAGGATCTATAACAATTTCGGTATAGTTTACAAGTTTCTCGTCGAATGAAAATGGTGAGATTAATTTAATTTCATGTCCTCTCTGAATTAACTCTTTTATAACAACTTTGAACATCATAAAATGGCTGTTTCCTGGGAATGGTATTAAAACAAGGATTCTATAGCTATTTACACTCCCAATAATAAAACAAAAACACAGAATGCTAAAGATGTGCTGTAAAAAATCAAATTTTAGTTATAGTAATACCAACACTTTGTTCAAAACCAACCATCTTCTCCAAGTAAATCGGTAGACTCTTTCTAATCCAAATATCGACTAAAAACTAATGATTAGCTGCTCAATTATTTATGAAAATTTTTATTACGAACAATATTTAGTCTTATCAAGCATTTATACAAGTATTCTTGACTTTCCACTCAATAGTATTTAAATTTTCCTCTTTGCTCTCTCTTACGATAACGACGTACGATGAGTTTTATTGTAAGTACCCAGAATAATATACAAATCAGTAAGATTGCAACGTATAAAGCAGCAACATCTAAATTATAATATGAAATCCAACTCATATTAACTGATGGTGATTTTTCAATTCCTTTGTGTTTGCAAACATGTTGTATCCAAAATACAGCTTCCTTCACTGGCTCCATGGGATAATCTAAAAGTTTTGAACTTGTCTTTCCAATATTTGTAAAATATGTATTATCTTCGGTAATCTGTTTAATCTTTTGAATTAAAGTTTCTTCATTGAGATCATCAAATAGAAGCAGTTCTCCGTAATGTCCACGTTCAGCTTGAAGAGCATTTCTGTATTGTTCTCCAGTAAATGGAATTATTAACATTGGAACGAAATTTGATATAGCTTCTTGATAACTTAAAGTCCCACCTTAATTTAAACTACTTTTAGAATTTTCTTGAATCCATTAAATCCAAATTATATTACCTTGTGTGATGAAAAGTACAACTTTTTTATTTCCTAATAAATCATTTTGTGGAAACCATTTTTGCATTATAATGTTGTCTGGTAGTCCCGCAGGAATATCTCCATCATATTGCCATAAAATTGTTTTCTTAATTTTACCAAAAGCTTTAACGATTTCATCGAGTTTTTCTTTGGGCATTTCGGAAGGCTTTAAGTACGAACCGAGAGAAAAGTAAATTACACTGCTGGGGGAATTCGAAAGGATTTCCTACAAATAAAAACATTAAACATTTATGGTTATTTTTTATCTACTAAAAAGCTCACTTTCAAATCAGTAGGCAAAGAGTAAGTATCTCTAATATGTGCAGAACCAATATCGATTTGGGATGCCATTTTCGGTCGCTTTTGTGCTACTCGAAAGCTATTAGACAACACTACAGAAATATTTTTAATGACGTCTTGTATATGAGGCACGTTTCCTTTAATACCATCATGAAAATATTTTTTTGCCAATCTATCTTGTGCTGGAATGTAAGAAAATTTGCGAACTGCTGCTTCAAAAAGATGTAATAATGTATTATAACATCGTTGAATATATGTCATATTATTTTCATATTTGGAAACTGGATGTGGAATGAAAGAATAAGGAGTTAAGACTCCCATTGCTTCATCTACAGAATGACTAATTCCATTGACATCTATTAAAAAGGATTTTATTTATAATCAAGGATTAGAATTATTTCTTGACTAGAACTTACCTATTGTGATTAAAGGGCAGTCATATTTATATGCCAACATGTAAAGTGATTCGAGATGATTGTTATCAGCTAAAATAACATCAAATTTATAATCATTTCTATTGATGAGCTTTTTAACATCTGGTTGATTCAAGGTGTGTTCTGATAATGCAAGGCCAATTTTGTATTGTGCTTGAATATAGCTGATGTCACTTTCGTACTTTCCGGTGAACACATCTTTTGAAGAAACTAGAAAAGTTCATTTTTTATATGCTAATTATATTCTCAATTAAGGAATTTTAAGCTGCATGGCACTTACATAAGTCTTCAATTTTGTATTTTGGAATCAAATATTCTTTCAAATTTTCATTCTTGTAGTCATCACTTCTATATTTAAATGGAGAAACTGTTGTCACAGAATGTCCACGATCTATTAACTGCTTAATGATTCTTTCCATTAAAATCCAATGCGATTGATAGGGAATCGGTGCAACAACTAAGATATCATAAGCAGTTGTCATTGATGACATCACCACAAGTGATATGGCAATTACTTTGAATATCATTTTAAAATTCAAAATGAACCAAAAAATGCTGGAATAAAACATTTTTACATTAATTTTAAGCTTACTCAAAAAGCATTTGATTTTTAAAAATCATATTTAAAGGAATAAAGCACAATTAAATTATTCAGGTTATTGAAAAAAAATTAATTGAAAAAATATTAAAAAATAAATGTTTGTGAAAATTTTCTTAAGTACAAATAAATTTTCATAAACTTCATTTAAACTTAGTAAATGTAATTAAGTACAAGTAAGTTTAATTTAATGTTTAGAAATAATTAAAAAATTAATTTACTATACTTGAACTTATTTCCTCAAATAACAGCAAGCGACTGAATTAAAAAAAAGGCTGAATACAACTTTTGTCGATCAAGTCTGAAAATTGAAGAAATATAATTTGAAATGTGTATGAAATATTTGGAAATTGTACAACATCAAGCAATTGACATCTGTTTTGGAGTTAAAAAAAGTAAATTCTAAAAGCTTAAATTTCAAAATTTCAATTTCAACTTTAATTTATCATTTTATTGTTCTTATAATTCAGTAGAAAATATGAATTAAAAAAAGAATCCTGTCAGTTAAAATTTCTGCATGCAAAAACTTTGAAGAATAAAGCTACATCTCTCAAACATTTGCATGAACTCATCAGCTGATGAAAATTTTCTTTGATTCTCTCATACTCTCAATTCTTTCACTTGTTCTCTTTCTGAGCGATCAGTCAAACAGTTAGTTTAAGTCTGTCGAATCAAATAGACGAGTTTGTTGTTCATTGCAATATTGTTTAAAAAGCGTGATTTAAAATTGTGCTGTAATTCCCTTTTTTAATAATTATTTGTGATAGTTTGGTTAAAACTGATCACGAATTCATTCAATTGATAGAACTTCTTTGATTTGCAACCGTAAAGTGCCTCACATAAAAATTGTTTAGTACATTAGAATCAAATGTGTAATAGATGAGAATTAATAGAATTATAGTTCATTGACTTTTTCATATTTGAAACTCCAGACATATTAAATAAAATAAATTGTGCATAATGGTGAGTGAATTTATTGATCTATAAATTAAAACAGGTTTAAAAGTTTAGTCATTATTAACATTGTTTTATTATTCCAAATCATTTACAGAAATTCATCTCATTGCTTTCTACTCTCGCTTTCTTTTCAATTCTTAATGTAACTACGTCATCAAGAATATTGTTTGTTGTGGCTTTTCCTGGTAAGAGTCATTGGCTGATGTTTGAGCCGCTTATTAATGAGGTAGGCAATTGCTTAATATTGCTTTTTTATAACTTTATCATGAATATACAGTACCGTTCAAAACTGTTTCCATGTTTCATGAAAATTTTTCTTTCCAACATATTTCTTATAAAACGTAATATTTTCCCAACATGTTATATATCGTTTTAAAGCTTGTTTAATAAGCTATTTAAAAATGAAAAGCAACTTTGGAAAATATTTAATTAAAGTAGATTTTTTGCTTAAAATATACACTGTCACATGGAAACACTTTTGAGCTCATAATTGTTTTTCCAAATTTTGATGCATAGCAGAACTAATTGACTAAAGTTTGTATATTATAGTAAAAAGCAAGTAAAATATTAGATAAAAGCACATAAATTAAGTTGCTAGACATAGTTAAAATATTTATATAAGAATGTTAAATCACATGATAAATTTTCACATAATTTTGCAAAAAATTACTGAATTAAAGCCAAATGTTGTGACGTTTGCATCCATACAAATGTATTTTAGCTTATTAAATCTGAAAAACAGTTTTTAATTGTAAATAGAAGCATTTGAATGCAAAAAAATTGATAAGATTTCATGGAAACACTTAAATTTTCTTACTTGAAAACACAAACATTCAAAATTTTTTATTACTTCCTCCACTTCAAAGAACTTTAATCGCTTTTTCTGATAGACTTTATGTTAACAAAGATAACCATATATGATTTATGTAGTCATTGTGAGAGTAAAAGGATGTTTTTTACAATTTTGTTGGTCAATGACAGCCATATTCAAAAATTTTTATAAGCATTTACAAAAATTCAATTTTTTTATGTAAATATCGACTTTTGATAGTCAAATATGATAATTTATTATTATGAATTGGATATTTTAATTATTTTAATCATTTTGTGTTGTCTTAAGTCGATATTTACGTAAAAAAATTGAATTTTTGTAAATGCTTATAAAAAATTTTGAATATGGCTGTCATTGACCAACAAAATTGTAAAAAACATCCTTTTACTCTCACAATGACTACATAAATCATATATGGTTATCTTTGTTAACATAAAATCTATCAGAAAAAGCGATTAAAGTTCTTAGAAGTGGAGGAAGTAATAAAAAATTTTGAATGTTTGTGTTTGCAAGTAAGAAAATTTAAGTGTTTCCATGAAATCTTATCAAGTTTTTTGCATTCAAATGCTTCTATTTACAATTAAAAACTGTTTTTCAGATTTAATAAGCTAAAATACATTTGTATGGATGTAAACGTCACAACATTTGGCTTTAATTCAGTAATTTTTTGCAAAATTATGTGAAAATTTATCATGTGATTTAACATTCTTATATAAATATTTTAACTATGTCTAGCAACTTAATTTATGTGCTTTTATCTAATATTTTACTTGCTTTTTACTATAATATACAAACTTTAGTCAATTAGTTCTGCTATGCATCAAAATTTGGAAAAACAATTATGAGCTCAAAAGTGTTTCCATGTGACAGTGTATATTTTAAGCAAAAAATCTACTTTAATTAAATATTTTCCAAAGTTGCTTATCATTTTTAAATAGCTTATTAAACAAGCTTTAAAACGATATATAACATGTTGGGAAAATATTACGTTTTATAAGAAATATGTTGGAAAGAAAAATTTTCTTGAAACATAGAAACAGTTTTGAACGGTACTGTATTTCGAAAACTAATTTCGTTCTAACTTAGCTATTAAACAGAGGCCACGAGGTGACAACAATCACACATTACCCATTAAAAACCGATTCAAAAAGTTATAAAGAAATATTAATAAATCCACCTTGGATATGGGACGAAAAAGTAAATATGTCAGCATATTTTACTCGAGCTGTCCGAAAAGAAAGTGTCATTTTCAAGATAACCTCTTTATGGGGTTTTGGAATCTCAACAACACAATTTACTCTTGAATCTCCATCTGTTAAAAGTTTTATTGAAAATGATAACTCAAAATTTGATCTTGTGATTAGTGAACAATTTCAACAAGAATCTATGAATATGTTTGCTCACAAGTACAATTCCCCTCTTATAACAATTGGAACATTAGATTATGCAGATTACATGCATAACGCACAGGGTCAAATAACTCCATGGTCGCATGTTCCACATTTCGTTAGCTACAGCACTGATAAGATGAGTTTTATGGAGCGTCTTGAAAATATTTTTGTATCGCTGTATGATGCAATTGGAAGAAAATTGTATTATCTACCAAAAATGACTGAATTAGCAAGAAAAGCATTTGAAAAATTAGAAAATCAACAAGGAGGAAGACTGCCGTCTGTTGAACAATTAGAGAAGAGAATATCAGTACATTTAATGAATGCTCATCCTGCTTTTTCTTACCCTCGTCCGAAAATGCCAGGAATGGTGGACATTGCTGGTGTTCATATCAAAGCTTTAAAGCCATTACCAAATGATATTCAAAAATTTCTCGATGATGCTAATGATGGAGTTATTCTTGTTAGTTTTGGAACATTTTTACAAAGCTCTAAAATGCCACCAGAAAAATATCAGGCAATGATTGATGCCTTTAGTTCATTGAAACAAAGAATCATTTGGAAATGGGAAGATGATAAAAAATTTCCGCCAAATATCTACACAAGTAAATGGTTACCACAAGCCGAAATTCTAGCACATAAAAATGTAAAATTGATGATAGGTCATGGAGGTATTTTCGGAGCACAAGAAGCTGTATATTATGGAAAGCCTATGATAATATATCCATTTTATGGCGACCAACATTTAAATGGATTCAAAATTGAACAAAGTGGAATAGGAATATTGCAATCAATGGATGAACTCTCTACAGAATCCTTATTACATGCTATAAATCATGTAATCCATAATGAAACATTTTACAAAAATATAAAAATCAAATCAGAAATTTTCAAAGCGAATCAAAACAGTCCACTGGAAACGGCATTATGGTGGATAGAATATGTGCTTAAATTTAATGGTGCACCACATCTTCAATCACCGGCAAGAAATCTTCCATGGTTTCGGTATTTGTCACTTGATATTGCTTTTGTTATTTTCGGGGCTCTCTACATTATTTATGATTTCATTAGAAAATTGTTCAACAAACTATCAACTGATAAGACTGAAGGACAAAAAACCAACAACTTTAAGAATAATAAAAGTAAAAAGAAAAAGAGCGAATAACTCATTTAGATATTAAGTTTATGAAACTTATTGAAAACAATAAATTAAATTTTCGAATAAAAAGCTACAAAATCAATTTTCTGAAATGTAAGAAATAATTATAAGTAATAAAGGAATAAAAATTGAGATTTTAAGATTTTCATCATTTTTATTTGTATTAATTTTTTTGTTCAAATTTAATGAACTTTCAATGCTTTCACAAAACCCTTTTTTATTTTTTTTTATTTCCTCATTCATTAATGAATTCTAAAAAATTAAATATTTTTCGAACCTTTTCATGTTTATTTTTGATTTAATTTTTTTTATTTTACTTCATTTATTCATCATTTTTATAACTTTTTTGAATTTAAACTACGAGTACATAGCGTTTATCGCACCACATTCATGATTTCATTGCACGAGTTTAAATGGTTTGTTTTCATTTTAATATTTACTTAATATCTTGATTTTTATTTTCAATGCAAATTAAAAAGAAGGTTTTTTGCTTTAATGACGTTGACTATCGTCAGAATTAATGCAAAACTCTCATCTACTGCGAAATATATTATTTATTCATTTGCATTTAGTTTTTAAAATTTTCTTAAAGAACAGAATTTTCAGTTGGTTTGTTTGAAGGAAAAAAATCATGCAGAATAAAGAAATTTCTAGCGGTTATCCGTTTTATATATTTTTTTGAGTCTCCTGTATTTTTCATCAAGAGAAAAAAGTGGTTTTCATTTCTAACAAATGGAAATTGAAACATTATTTTATTAATCAAAAATTTGCTTTTAAAATTTGGAGAAAGAAACAAAAAAATATTACATTTAACTACATTTAAAGCATTTTTTTCATCTTCACTTAAGAATTGTTTCTCTTTGCTTATGTTTTATTTGACAACATTCACTGATTTTTTTTTGCTTTTCACTAGATACTTTTCATCAATATTACATAATAAAGGATAGAGTTCATTTTATAAAAATTACGATCCATCTTTTTTTGTCATCCAAAAAATTCTTTGCCGAGTTTTTCATCATTTTCTATTTATTTTTTATTTTTGCAATTTTTTATTTGTTTGAAAATTTTTACATTTTTATATTTAATATTTATTTCAATAAATATAATAAGTAGACAGTATTTTGATTATTTTCGTCTTCAATTTTTGTTTATGGATTAGTGCAAACTTTTTTCTGTAATTTATATTTTTTTTTTGCAGGTATTTTAAGAGTAGAAATCATTTGACGAAAAAAATGCAAAGACGCTTTCTTGACACTTTTTTTAAGCTTTCTTTAATTTAATTAGAAAAAGATAAAACTAAAACTTCTAAATTTGTTTAAATTTGTTCATTAAAATTCCTGGAGTCTGATGCTTGCTGGATCTAAGAGTATATTATATTTAAAGTCTAGCCATTGGCATACTTTAGCGGTCCTATAGATCAAGTAAATACTACAGGACACTAGGTAGAACCTACTCTGGGATAAAGCAATCATTCGACAACTGACTATGAGATTCTTTAGAAATTATAATATCAAGAACTTATCTTCTTTTTAATTAAGAAAATAATTGTGCATTTTATGGATGATAAATAAACATTATTAAAAGTGCTTTTTAAAAATTTAACATTCTTGAATTCAATTCAAGAAATAATATTTAAATGCGAACGCTTTGATACTGATTACATTTTAATGTCAATATTTTTTGGTGTTAATATTTCCAAATTGTTAATTCGAGAAAAAAAGATTAACAAATAATAAAAAAAGTCATTTAATAAAATTATATCTTAAACAGCCCAAACAGTACGATAATCTTTGGTTAAATAATAACAAGTATAAATTTTGGATGGAAGCAGGTCCTTAAAAATCAAGTTCTTTGGGAATAAAAATACAAAAAGGTAAGTTTTTGAGTATCTTCAAAAATATCAAAATATAGATTTTCCGTTTAATGGACGATTCATTCATGACTGCTCATTATTCGCTCCTGTATTTTATATGCATACTCTCGAGAAGATAAAGTGCTTTTTCATTTTTAATTATTACAATTTAATCAAGTTTGTATTAATAAATATATTTTCTTTTAAGCTGCTTCATATTTTTGTGTCAGTAACGAACTTCTGAAACCTTCTCGAGAGTGCATATATTTTTATTTTGATTTAGAGAGATATTTGTATAAAGTATCAATTATTTTGGGGAATTTTAATCTCTAAGAGAAAATTTTTGTGAATTTCTAGAAAAATTTTCAACTTTTTTAATCCACTTCAAAAAATATTTTGTCACAATTTCTTCTTTTGTATCATTATTTTTTTTATGTTTTTACCTTTAGCAGTAGTTGCATCCAATTTTTTAAATTCTAATATATGCTACTTAAAATTATTCACTTCATTTCATTTTATATAATAAACTTTTCACCATCATTATTTTTTTTTCAATAATTTACAGAATTATTTTTTTTTAATTTTTGTCAAATAGTTTTAAGCGTGTGAATAAACTTTTTTATAATTATAAATTAATTAATAATTTATTATTTCAAAAACTGATTTATATTTAATTTATTTATATAAATATCCTTGCAATGTCAATGATTTAATTTAATTCTCTTTTTCATTTTCTCATTTTTTACTGCTTTTCATTTCATTGTTTTTACTTTCTTATAGATTTTTTTTTTTGATATTATCATATAAATAGAACAATATTTTTTTTGCTGATCTCAATGTTATGTATTTATATAATGTTATGCATGTCATGTTGGTTTTTTTTGTGTGTTTATGAATTTTTACTTCTTTTTTTCTTCGATATTTCTTTTAGAATAAATGAAGAAAAAGAAAAAGAAACATTATGAGTTTATTTTTTTCCTTCTTCTCTTTATATAATGATTTACTGACTAGTTGACTAGAAAATGACAGACCAAAACGATTTGATTTTCCTCTTTTTTTCTTTTCACTTGACTAATCATAAAAGTTTAACTTTATGTGTTTTAAACGTGTATTTATGTAAAATATCCTTAAATATCATTTGATTCCATCTTCTTCATATGGTTTTATACATACAATGTATGTATAATATAAATATATTTAATATGTCGAAGAAAAGAAGAATTATAAAGATGCTGATGCATGAATGAATGTAGTGAGGAAACGTTAGTACGGAAATTTTTGAGATACAGAAATTGAAAGAGAGCGATCGTCGCACGAATAAAAGCTTCACATTGTCTGATTTGTCAAAGCTCATAAAATTTACATTTGCGGAGCTGGCTTTGGCGAATCAACAAGCACAAAATATACTATCAATATTTTATTAGGGAATATAATTTGATTTACGCATAATATAGCATGTGTCTTGTCACCAGACTATAATTATGTGTATGTATCTCAGTTTCTCATATTAATAGTCCAATATCATTATCGTAAGTCACTGATACTTTTATTCATGTTCCCCCTCCCCCACTACCTCCATTTTCATCATCATCCTTTGCCACTAAATTGCTACTATTATTTAGATTATTACTATTGTTGTTAGCACTATCAAAGCGACGAATATTTCGTGTTGTCAAATCGCTCATCAACAAACGTGATGATGATGATGTGCCTATATCAATGCCGCCGCTCCCGAAAAATTTTCTGTCATGTGTTTTTCTACGACTCTCACACTTCTCCAATAACTTTTCCAATTCATTATCACATTTTGCTTTAAATTTACGTAAATTATTTTGAAATTGTATTTTACTGTCCTCGACACTTGTGTCTGATGAATTGTATTCAGTATCATTAAGCGGCACCTCTTGTCGGCCGTTTGGCTGTGCGCCCAATAGATGTGATGGAATGCCGCGAGTTCTTTGATATTTTTATAGAAAAAATTAAGAGAAAAGAAAATATTTATATATATAAGATTTTAATAAAAAACCACCACCACCAGACGTAATTAATTCTTGCTAAATTTGCTTATTTCATTCATCCATATCACTCATAGTTATTAAAGAAATAATGGCAACAATGTCATTAAGTCTCATTTCATGCTTATTAGTTTCATTATTGATTTCATTCTACATTTAGTAGTCAAAAACATAAAAACATTTTGTATGCTCATACTTCCATTGTTACTATTCTTTAAGGAAACAATCGATTGAATACATTCATTTTTCATGCTATTAGAATGCTGCTTATCCTTAATAGCATAGGTGTCATTTGCTTATGGCGTCTACAATTTATATATAACATTCAAAACTAGAAATGAAACTCTGATCGATTTTAATTAATTACTCTCAAGATTCATTCACAAGGAACTGACTTTAAATGTTTGCTGTTGATAAAGATTATTATGATCTTTAGCTAGGTGACACTCTTTTAATGAAATCAATACGATTTTTGAGGATTATAACAAAATTTTGAAATAAACTTTGAGTGTTGGAACAAGAGTGCGCAGCTAATAAATTAGAATTTGATCAGTTCCTTTTATAAATAAATCTTTCTTCCTTATTTTAATGTTTCTCTGAATAAACTCTAATCTTGCAAAATTTATTTTTTTCATAGCGTGGATATAGGGTTAAAATTATATTGGTTTTTGGGTAACAAATCGAAACTGATAGAAACCCTATTAGAGAAACTTTTTAAAATTTGATGTCAATATATGCTTATATATGTAATTCTCATGGAAACAGAGTTTACCGGGATTAATCAAATTCAGATTGTTAAGCTTGAAGAACGCTAGTTGCAAGATAGTAATTCATTGATTATAAAATTAATAATGAAAATGAGCATACAAAATAAATTTAATCAATAACATTTTACAAAAAATTCCATTTTAAAAAACATTGTTTTCTTCAAATAAAGAATACGAAATGGAAAAGGAAAAAGATAAGGTAAATACTCAGAATTTAATCAAATATTGTAAAATAATTTTAAGGATATGCTTTTTAAAAGACACAATAAAATTGACATACTGAAACAGATATTTGTTCCAGATAATATCCAAATAGATATTTGGTTGATAAACAATCAAATAGAACAAAAATCAGAGTTGATTTTCTGAGCATGGGGCAAATATGTTGATAGATTTAACTTAAATAAACTAAATATATAAATAACATAAATAAACAGAGGAGATACGTACGAAAAAGATTTTTTAAACGTGATTCTATCTATTCTTATGCATGATTTTTTTTTGGAAATAATTTTCTTTTTTGTATCATAAGTATAAAAACGTATAACGAACAATTTTCATTATTCAATGCCAGCACTATAATAAAAGAAAGAAAAAAAAAACAAATAAAGTAAAATAAAATAAAAAAATATATATAAACATAATGGTAATAATAATAAAATACAAAAATATGACGACAACATTTTCAAAGTTAAATGGGATTTTATGTTGTGGTTAAAAATAGAAGGTGTTTCAAATTTGTCAGTAAGTGTAGACGAAAAGGAAAGAAAAAAGAAGTAAGCTCTTCTCTGTCCTTTCATTTCACTCTACTTGACGTGTTATAGTGTCATTTACGGCAGTGTGATTTTGGGTAAAAATGATGATGATGAAAACAAAAAACAAAAATAAAAAAATAAATAAAACCATTTTCATTTTTTGATGAGAATGGAAAAAAAGAAAAGTAATGACAATAATAACAGTTATGAGAACACTCCAACTCACCTAATGACAGGACGTGATTTTGGCCTTGTAAATCTAAGATTTAGTTGTGATGGATCTGTGACATATTTCTCAGCATTTTGTCTACGTCGACGTAATCCTGTAGACATTGAATCGTTATAGAAAAACATGTGAAGAAGGAACAAGGAAGACGTAGGCGGACATAATGAAGGACGACATAAATAAAATAGTAATTAGATCAAATTGAGCTTTACAGATTTTCATCATTTATCACCTGGTGTCAAATCCGATATATCAGGACCTTCCTCAACTCCAGCCCATGACGATCTCTGTGAAAGCATACGTGAAGACCCGGAAGGGTTGAATACTGGAATTTTGCTATTACTACTATTACTACAATCTCTCAATCGCTCATTATCTATGCGATTGTCAGTTGTGCTTTCTATGTCTTCACGATCATTTTGAAGATTAGTAGCTGCTATTGAAGATGTTCCTGCTGCTTGGGCACATTCATCAATTTTATTATCACTTTCTGCTTCTTTGACCTCAATATCACCAACTTCTTTCTCCTTGCCATCATCCTCTTTTTCATCCTCATCTGGCCCATCAAGTGCATCATCAGATTTATCCACAGTCACGATTTTATATTTTTGAATTTTTAAACTATCTTCATATACTTTTATGTCATATTTCTTCTCTTGAGGCTCTTTCTTATTGATCCATATAAATTCCTCTTCATATTGAACATTTTCCTTTTTTTGTTCATCACCTTTTAACTTTGATTCGTCTGCGACATCACCAATGGAAGTAGGATTAGTTTGAGGTCCATTTGTAACAACGGCATCAAAATAAATTGATTCTTCTGGATTTGGACTAGCTTCTTTTGAAATTTTATCTTTGCTCAAAACACGTATCTCCAAACGTCCACTTATAGCATGCTGCTCTTCTTCCTCCTGTTGGTCATTTGTCGCCTCATTTACACCATTCTCTTTATCTGCTAAAATGCATGGATTTGAAATATAGTTATTATTTGGTTCACTCGATGCACGATAATAGAATGTGGTTTCAGTTTCACGAATCTTGGGACTCATTTTTAATTCATATTCAGCAAATGCAATATTTGGGAGACTTTTATATTGGAAGAGTTTTGCAAATGGCTGGCATGGCGATGGACCATTATCATCATTGCAAATATCACGTACTCCAACATTACGATTTACGTCCATTTTGAAAATCTATTAAATTAATGAAGAACAAAAGTTATAGTTTCGAACTTAGATTTAAAGTTTCTTTACAAACCGTATCATCAAATGCAGCCTGTTGCAATAATGGAGGCTCGAGATTATGACGTAAAATATTTCCTAAAGCCGGTTCTGACCAGCATCGTGGCAAATGATCCTGAATGTTTGGAAAGCTCTCAATACCAGCAATATTAAGATGGCATCTGAAACAATAATTAAATCATTAATATTTCTCAAATTATTTCACAGCTATCTGAATGTGTGAAATTTATAATCTATAAATAAAGCAAAATATCTTTAGCCATCAGCTGTTACTTACTTTTTCTTTTTCTTCAATTTTAATTTTAATAATGGATCTTCTCTAGATCTTGATCTATGCTGAATATAAAATTCTCGTGTTTGATTTGTGTCTTTTTGTAGCTGATGATGAAGTTGTTGTGATGAAAGTGGTGCAATTGGCTGTGATGGGGTATTTTGCAAAGATTGTGGTTGAGTAGCCGATGATTTGATATGAACCACATGATCATGACTATTATTGCTTTGATGGTGCTTGCTAGGCAATGTGTGATAATGTGGATGTTGTTCTTTGTGGTGCTGCTGTATGTATTGAATTTTCTGATGCTCTGGACTCTGTGGTTCTTGTTTCCATTCATTGTCTGTTGTCTCTTCCGAATCATCAAACTGTGATTTCCATTGAGAGGCAAGTGTCAATCCTCCACCACCACCCTTGGTCATGTTTTGGAGTGCTGAAATGTTTTCATCATCAATCAATGCAAATTGTGTAATTGAATGATCGCGTGTTGTAGCCGAAGCACTATTTAGTCGTTGTAAATTAACACTTGAGCCAGAATTTGGACGATGACGTCTTTGTCCTTTTCTACTTTCATTACCACCGACAATTTTTACATCATACTGGAATGGAACATTTTCACTGTCACGTGGAGATCCTGTACTCTCTTGTGCCAGTTCATGAACATTTGCCACACTTGTTGGAGGTGCTGTAAGTACTCTCAATCGCCCATATGTTGTCTTCTCCTGTTTTATTTGAATAGGATTAACATTCTCATTATTATTGTTATTATTATTATTGTTTGACTTTTCAGCATCGTTCTAAAATAAACATTAACAAAAGAAATTTTTGTTGACATTAATTAGCAAATTGCTAAATATGAAAATGTCATAAATTCATAAAGAACAACCATTTAATGATGAAGGAAATAATAAATAAACACCTTCGACCATTCAATGCTTTAAGTAAAAGTGCAATACATAGTTTAGTAATTAGGTTACCTCAACTTGCGATGTTGAACGACGTTTAACGGGACTAGCTGCTTTTTTCATTTCATTCATAATAACATTATCGGTTGGCTTATTTGCTGGTGGATGATGGCGATGTTCTCTTATCATAGCCTCTGATGCTGTTTTTTGTAGTTTATGCATCATTGGATAATCTAAATCACCATCTGTTTCGGGAGTTTGTGCCTGTTCTTGCTGAATAATAAATTGTTTTATTGGTATTGGAGGTGTCTTTTCCATCACAATTGGATTTTCTTGTTTTTCTGAATTATTCTGTTTTGGTGATGTCTTGTAAACAACCTGTCCTATATTGACATTTTGATTTTTATCACTTTTGACCTTTTCAATAGCTCGAACAGGCTCAGTTGTAGCTGCAACATTATTCATCATATCACTATCCAATTTATTACGCTGTTTTTGTTCAACACTGCTAATATTTGATGCTTGAACTGTAACTTGTGGCACGGCATGATTAGTATTTGTAACGTCATTTTTCGCTTGCGCATTACTGTTCAATATCGATGAACAATTAACTTGATTATTGATTTGCGACAGCTGCTCTGTCTTTTCCCAATCATATGGATCAGTTTCTTTAATTGCACGACGTTTCATACAACGCTCAAATAGTGATGCCAACATACCATAATCAGGTTTATCAGCATAGCTAAGTGACTGTATGTGCTCTAAAAATTGCTTGAAATCTGATGGTAAATGCTTTAATAAAAGTCTATGATCATATTTCTCTTTCATGAGACCAACTTGTTCCTTATCCTTGATTTTTCTCCAAGGTAATTGTCCATTTACAAATTCGACTAGCATATAAAATAATGACCAGAGATCATCATGACGACCCATTTCTCGATTTCTATGTGCATTAATTGATGCATATCGAACAGTACCGCGAAAACCGGCTGCTGCTCTTGGGCATCTCACTTCTCCACTTGTTGTTGTATATTGACGTGCTAATCCAAAGTCCAACATATATACACGACGGTTATTAAACGGTAAGCGACCCATAGAAAAATTGCTCTACATATTAATAGATATAATGAGTAAAAAAGAAAAGGCATTTAAATGAAATCGATCGATGAGATAGAAAATAAATTGACAAGTATTTTTTTTCCGCAAATACATACCGGTTTAATATCTCGGTGTAAGAATCCAACAGAATGAATCGATTCAATAGCTTTTAATATTTGAATGCCTAATCTCAGCGTGGTACTCAAGGAAAAAGCACCACGCGGTTGACTACGCCTCAATTCAGCTAGATTTTTTCCTTGCAATTGCATTACAACATAATTGAATCGATCATTTCTGCCACAGCCAATAAAACGGCATACATGCTCTTTGCCCTGCAGCTTCTTTAAAACAGCTACTTCCATTTTAAGAACCTGCTTAGGCATACGAGCGGATTCAACTTTGAGTGCTACTTGCTCACGAGTTATCAGATCTTGTCCCTCATAAATTTCACCGAATCCACCACCACCAATTTTCCGTACAACCTTCCAACGTTCTTTAACAACGTGGCCTGGTTGTAATAAGTCTTCTGACGTCATTGTTATATTTTGGTGATTATTCTATAGGATGAGAATTAAAGTTGTGTAAAATTAAACTTCTCAATTCTAATTAAAGTACATAGCAAGCTTTCAATTAGACACCTTTTTCTATGTGGATTTTTTATAGCTCTTGCCAACATAACATTTTAATGGATGTAAATACTAACCTGGTCTGTCGATGGCGATCTAACACGAATGGGAACAGTTCTCTTAGCTAGTTTTGGATTGGCTGGAAGTGTTGCACTTCTTTGTAAAGTAGTACCACCGCGCGGTGGAACTAAAGGGCTTTTACTTTCGATATCATTCCTTTGATAAAAGAAATTACAATTGTAATTTGTTAAACAAATTTATTAAAAAAATTCAAAATTTTAAACTAAATTGATTTTGTTTCTTGTTTTTTGAAAATAAAGAAAAGTTATCAAAAAGAATGAAATGTGAATTTAAATTGATTTTATATGTAAAGTCTTAATTTACTAACAAAGTTGCAAGTCTGTTGAACTCATTTAATTTCAGTGTGATTTTATTTTAATTTATTTCATTAAAGTTGTAGATTTCTGATGAATTTATTCAAGAATCATTTAATTTAAAAAAATTTGAGTAGCAATAGGTAATTTAAAAGATTAAAGCTTAAAAAAAGCAATTTTAATAATTTTTTCAAATTAAGGTCTCGAAGATAATCTTCTTTTTAAATGACTTATTAACATTATTTATGCAAAAATTTGTCAAATGAAATTTAACTTTTATTTTTACTGCTTCATAATCCACGCTCATCGCATGTAAATTCTGTAGATAAAATTTATAAATTGTTTCGCTGCTAGACATGTCAATATAAAAATAATTTTTCAGTAATCAAACAGCAATCCATAAAATTCTTCTGACTATCAAGTTGTCATCTAAAGAAAGATTTTTATGTTAAGTCAATAAAATAAACACATGATATTATGGATATATTGTGTAGAAAAAAAAATCGAATGTCATGGTCTTTATCGCAAATATCATAAAGCTTTCCAAAAATATGTGGAAACCTTCTAATAAGCTTATAATTTAGACATAAAATAGCGAGTATTTAAGGATAGATTATTGCGTAAAAGTTAAATCAATAATTACTTTTTAAATTTAATTCGATGAAAATTGTCAGAATTAATTTAAAAATAGTTATCAAACCTTGAAAAATGATCGAAAATTTTTGATTAAATAATTGAAAAAATGTTTCTAAATATTTATAAATAGTTGCAAATTATTATTTGCTATTTTGACACTTAATAAGCAAATTGCAATTGATTTTTACAAAATATTTTTTTGCTTCTGTATTTTAAAAGAATATTGAGCTTTACTCTGGCAATAATATCCTTAAACTTTCATTCCGTAAAAAAATTGTGTGATTTAACCACACGAGAGAGAAGAAAGGAGCAAGCACGACGAGAGATAATCTTTAGTGTCATAATAATTTTCTCTCTATTTTTCACATTAGTTGGTTTTCTGTCATATCTTATTGCTCCTTATGTTTAAGTGCAAAACCCACTACTGAACATGCAATGAAGTACAATAATGATTTTTTTATGCAATTTTATTTCGGCTATTTTTGGAAATATTTGATTTGAAATTGATGACAGCTTTCATAATATTAAAGTTACAATATCGACAAAAATTGTTTGAAAAAGAAAAATCATTTTTTCAAATGTTGTATGTGTGTGACTCAAAACACACGTTTTTTACATAACACGTCGGGACAAAAAGAAAAATTTATGACTTGCAGAGTCTCTTACGTTTTCCTTCTTAATCTTTTATTTAATTTTTTTTTTAATTTTTTTAAACTCTAATCAAGTTTTAGCCACATGCTATATATTCACAAATTGCAGCTATAGAAGCTTCCATATTTTTACAAAATATTTCATATCTAGCCACTTAGGCTACATTTTAAGTTAAAATTTTTAACAACCACACAGTCACATTCTTTACATTGCTTGTTATCATGTTTTTCTTAATTTTTTTGTTTTATGTCGAGAATTATAAATCTCAATACTTTTGTACTTTTAATACCTTAAGGTAAATAAACCAATCTATCTATCTATCTATCCATGTTTGAGTACCTCTTAGCTATATTAAATTTTTCATACTTTAATTTTCTCTCATTTTGTTGCTTTGTTGATGGCAAGATAGACACTTTGATTTAAAAATATCACGAGATTCTCTTTCACTTGAATAACTTTTATCTGATTCTTCTACTTATTTAATTGTATTAACTTGACTCTTTATTTTGTTAGCGTCGTTGTTAATGTAACAATTTTTCTTTCATTTATTTTAACATTGAATATCTCCTGCCTTATTTTCATCGATTTTTTTTTCTCGCACGGAACATTCTCACTGTACATAGGACACACAATATCATATTCAATATACCCACTTTTTTTTCTTTTGGAAGCAAATGACTATCGTATTTATGAAATATTCATGAAACTAAGCCCCACAAAAGTTGTAATTCTATTATCAAATTGACATTAAGTAAAGAACATTTTGCCATTATCATATGGCGAAAAAAAAAATTGTGAAAAAAAATCTTTTCCAGTTTTTCTCATTGCAAAGCAAAAAAAAATTTTCACCTCTTCGATTTTGATTTACAATTTAAATTTTTTTTCATTTAGTGTTTTATTAACAATAAACATATTACCATGATGAATACTCAATCAACAAATTATTACAACACTTTTATTTTGATAAATAGTTTTACTTTTCTTTTGATATATTTAAATTGTTACCATATAGACTTATTATTTAATTGAGAGAAAAAAATCAGAAGAAAAAATTGGTTTTATGCGAGAATAGAGGGCACGTAACTGATTGAAAAATATATTCAAGTAAATCAATTGTAGGAAAAGTCTACGAACGGTGCAGGGTTTGTTATACTGCATGCGCAACATAGAAAATAAGAAGCAAAATGTTATGTTGTTTCGTATTTATATGGCAACATAAGGAAAAATTGATTCTGCTTGCATGTGTTGGTTATCACACTTGTTTATTTAAAATTTCTACAAACGTTATGTCAAGTGAAAAGTTTAATAAATTCTACAAAAATAATTTTCATGATGAGTAGATACTTAAATAATTTTTATTACAGTCTTGATCGTTGTTCAGCATTATTCTTAGATTTTATGGTCAGACTACTGTCAAATAATTTAATTTTTTTAAAAACTCCTAACATTTTAAAATTTTAATTAAGTTTTTCACGTCGGAAGTTAATTACACAAATGTTTTTGAACTTAAGTTTTTGTAATTCATTAGTGCGATAATGCAAAAGCTAAGTGCAAGTGTTGACAAGATGAAATGTAATATTTAATTGCCCAATAGCCGCTTAGAGAACAATTTTATTAAGAAATTTAAAATTATAAAAAATAAGCTTTATTGTGAGATTTTAAGAATTGATAAAATATATTGTAAAATCAGTTTTGGCATTTAAATGTAAAAAATAATTTTTTAATAAAACTTGAGTATAATGTTTATTACTTTTGGATATCCAAATAATCCAAATTTTATTTATTTCTATAAGAAAGATCCCGAAATATTTTGACCAAATCTCTGATTAAAATTATGGGCAAATCCACCAAAGAAATTTCTTTATGAAAATCATAAAGTGTCTGCAATTATGTTAACTTATTTTGAGTAATGCATTCAAAATTCTATTATATTCTTGCTGAATCAGCTCTGCAGCTTATTTAGGTAAAGAATTATTTTACTTTATAAGTTTCACTGAGTTAATTTTATAAAAAGTCAAAAATTTAATTTTTCAATTTTTTTGACAAATTGCTGTTAATTATAATCTCTGAACTGCTAGTATAGTATTGAATCGATTTTCGCTTACTAGAGTTTTAAGTTCATGCCTGTTTTATTCTGCATAAAAGTTTAATTAAAGAGATTTTTTTCAACAAAAGCTTTTAAATTGTATATTTATACAATATTCAAAATTAATTTAAAGAGCATAAAATTAAGAAACTAAGAAATCGTGTCAAATATTTTTCAAGAATTTCAGTACTCTTTATTTGTGGATTAGCCATTTTACATACTTATTAGATTTAATTATCAAAATAAAAATCCATTTAATTAGTCAAGCATCTAAAATTATGATTTATTTTCTCAGAGTCCATTGTTGTCGTTTCTCTCTCAATTATTACGAATCATAAAAAAAACCGATGGTGTCACTTCATCGGAAAATTAATGAATGAATATTTCGTTTATTTGAGGTAGAAACCTTTTTGCTATTTTTTCAGATGAGTTAAAAATAGGAGAAAAATTTGTGAAAATAAAAGAACACATGAAAATCCATGTTTATAGAGCAACGATCTATTATATTATTTCAAGTTTTTAGCACATTGCAAGAAAAAGAAATTGCACGAAATTGATTATTTTGCAAGAAAAGGAAGTGAAAAAGAATATATTTTTTGGTTCCCTAGATACGAAGATTTTTTTTTAAAAAAAAATTAAATAATTTCATAGAAAATGAAAAAAAAATTGCAACCACGTGTTTGCCAAAAAGATAAAGATATCTTAAATATTTCAATGGTTTAAACAAAAATTCGGCAAATTATCAATTGTGATTATTGTGGGTTGTAGTTAAATTCTTCATGACTTTTCAAATGACCACCTATCATAAATTAGAATAAAATAAACAAAAAGGAAAATCTTTTCGCGTGCGTGATACTTGATCTGAAAGGGATCAATGTGAAAACACAGTGTCTACCTCATAAATACATTTTAATGATCTACATTGTCGTGTGATAAATAATGTGTTTTTCTTTTTTTTTTTAAATTTCGCCTATATGTATTTGACAGCTCACACGCCTTTCGATGTCACGTAGTATTCTTTAGATTTTTATCTGAATCTTGTCTGATAAGTTAGATACTGATGAAGGAGAGCAATGAGAGACAAAGATCATTATGGATTTTTGTCAAAAAAATAAACAAAAGTATTTCTGTGTTTCAACACTCCTACGTTAAATAAGAGTATGAACTCAATCGACCTCAATTCGACACATATTTTAAGTATACTTTTCCATTGCTCAATTGAATACTCTTGCCAAAAGAAAATACATTCTTGCAACTTGTTTAGTGTGTCGGTAAATGATTTTTTTTTGACAGGAAAAAAATTGTATATTTTCCGTATTTTCTATCAACTTTTAATATGCATGAGCTCCTTTTGGTCCGCATGATTTTATTGTTCACAGTAAATATTTTGTATAATTTAAACACCACTGGGTATCAATAAATCAATGAAAACAACAAATAGCAAGCAAGAAAGTAATAATAAAAATAATTTTCTCCTTGACTTACCACTTCATGATGATGTTTATTTATTTTCCTGTCTTGTCTTATATTGAATGATGAAGGATTTCTGGTTACTATTTTTACTAGTTTACTCTCTAGACACACGAAAATGTGAAAAATACACTGTTTATTATCAAAAATATATCTCGTAAGAAGAAAAAAAAATTACTAGTATTTCCGAGTATCAACTGCTTTGATGAGACGAACGAAATCGTGCGCTGCTACGTCGTTGGTAGGTAAAAAGTATAAAATACACAAAAAATCGGGCAGTGTGCAGGATTTAAAAACTATAAAAAAAGGAAAATTTTCATGAGATTTCCTAAATGTCTGAATAATTTCAAGTTTTTTCTTCTATTATTTGAGAAAGGACAAAAACAATGATTTTATAAATTAATTGCGAATAAACAATTTTTCAACACTTTACGTGAAAGTAATAAAGTTGTTTGTTAAATCTTCGTCAAATATTATTTGTTGTTTGTTTGTCAGTTTTCATACAGCTTGAAATTTTTATTTCTTGCGACATATCACATGTTCATCACAGCATCTCTCCATTTTTCATCATCTTGAATAAATCTTCTTATTTTTCTCTCACGTTAGCTATTATATTCGTGTTATGTTTAATTTTATGTACGCAAAAGTAAATTATATTTCGTGAAAATTAACAAAAAAATAGCCCATTTTTCTTTTATCTAGTTTTTGTTTTCATTTAAAAATTGATTCTTTTCTAAATTGAAAAAAAGCAGACATAGTTTTTATCTATTGTACACAGTAAATGATAGCAATGTGTGAAGAATCCAGCCTTTTTAACTGGTAACAATTTTATTACATTATAAATTTATTTTGTACTTTATGAGCACATTTAAATAAAATTCATCGTATTTTTTTTTTATTTTGTAAATTTGGGTGTTCAGTTGTATCGAAACAAAAAAGTAAGAATTTATTCAATATTGGACCAAAACAAAAAAAAATATATTTTTTTAATTGCTCCAAAAATCAAAATCAAAATTTTATTATTTGGAGACAATCTTATACTGAAATATTGATAGATATTAATTTTCTTTTCATCATAAATTCTTTGCCTTCACCCTAAAAGTTTGAGGCATAAAAAAAGTAAAAAGAAATAAATGAAGATTACAGGAATGATTTACGAATCTGTTTTGCAGAAACGGTTTTATATCTCACGATCGTCTTATTAAAAAATTTGATCTTTTTGCATAAGAAAAAAAAGAAAAATAAATTTTCATTTATGATGAAGGGATATGTTTACATGTGAGGTCACCGATCAAATTACTTAAAAAAGCACGAGTTTGAAGAATAAGAAAATCTTAATCAGATCATGATGTGAGGAGAGAATAAAGAGAAACTTTTGGGAATTTCCTCGTGATGTGTCTGACTAGCACTAGTTCTTATAAACAGATTGTGTGAATAGCAGATTTAATCATTTGGTAGAAAATAATTGTTTGCATCATTTTGGTAAATTTTGTTCTACGTAGGATATATTTAAACTGCTTTTAATCACCCGTTTAACACCTCCACTCTGAATAGTCTGTTTGTAGTCAGAAAACCATTTATTTTTGCTTTAAATTTTTCAAAAACACACATGCATTTTATTTGTAAATCTTCAATTGATTTGTCCACTCAAATAATGTTTCAATGTACCTTGTACCTTCAGAATATTAGTCTCTATTTTATTATGATGAAAATTTGTTTATTTGTGTCACCGCTTAATTGATGACGTTGATGAAAGCTCCACTTCCTTGTCAAATTTCAAGGAAAAAGAAAATGAAGAATACAAGCGGCGCAATCACGTTCGAAAATAAAAAAAAATCTTTCTTTGAGAGCCAAGAAAGAAATCTTCACAAATTAATAATAATAATAATATTTAAAGATCTTTTTGCGCGTTGTGTTTAAAAAAAGCTATTACTATTATGTGATTCTTATTTAGTATGGTGGCATTTTTTAAGATCTCAACCACTTTCACATAAGCGATTTACACCAGAGAAAATTCTTCGCAGTAAGAAAATTTTCTTGTCTTTTTCTTCTGATAAGAAATTTATTATTTATATAATAATAAAAACTTTAAAATTTCAGTTTCACAGTTGTTTTCGCCATTCAGTATTGGATTGCTAAGGAAAATGTTAAATTTTCATTCGAAATTCCGATAAAAGTTTATCTTAAAGAGTATTTTTAGTTGCATTCAATTTTCCTTTTTGTGTGCGCGATCATTCAGTCTGATGACGATGATGTTTAATAAATATCAGACAAATGTTCTTTTGATTTCACTTTTAATTTTAATAAATTAATTCTTATTATTATGATGTTTTTGTCTTGGGGTTACTTTTAGTTCACAAAATTTACGCGGCACATGGATAGTATGAATTGTCAACAGTCCATTGACGATACAATATCGTAAATCACTTAGCACTATATAATTATCTTCTTTAATTGAGTTTCATAAAGATTCTATTGTTTCAGTCACACTGGTAATAAATTCCTTTTACAAATTTGCGTTTGTCTTGATGAACTTCATTGTCTGCTAATGAGAAATTTACTCCTTTCTGCTCATCT